ATATTTGTAGGATTAAGTTGATTACTGTTGTGAAAAATCAAATCAACATAACTCTTTGATTTTTATTAAAACTAATCTTGATATTGTAGTTATTTATCTACTTTACTATATTCTAAACTGTTATCTGTACTAACCTTTTATGATGTTCATAATAATTCTTTGTTCTAATTTTTTATGATGTTCATAATAAGTCTTTGTTCTAACCTTTTATGATGTTCATAAGTCTTTTTACTAACCTTTTATGATGTTCATAATAAGCCTTTGTTCTAATAAATACAAAGGGTATTGCCTAGAAAAGCCTTTGTTCTAATAAATACAAAAATAAAAGTTGAAAAAAAGCTGTAAAAATTAGGTGCAGTAAGACTCATTAAAATAAGATATAGTAAGACTCATTAAAATTAGATACAGTAAGACTCATTTAAATTAAGTACAGTATGACTCATTAGAATCATGATTAAACTTAACTAAAAATGGAAATTAAGACTTAATGTATTGTTAAAAAAAAAAAAATCAGACCTTTTAGTTGTGTTTTTGAAATACTATTATTAAAAAAAAGTTATATTAGGACTTTAAAAATTTAAATAAATTTAAACTTTTATTTAAATTTAAAAAACACATTTTTTGACTAGTAAATTCAGTTTTTAGTTGAAATTAAAATAGGCCAATTTTTCAAAGCTAAAATTTAAATTTTGACTATAAAGCTGTCAAAACCAAAAATAATTTTTAAATACATGTATAGTTTTTTAAATACATGTATAGTATGTAGCATGTAAAACATATTTAATTTATTTTTTTTAAGAATTTATCAAAACTTAGAGTTAATCATTGAAAAATTTTCAGTATGTAATTAAGTCTGTTAAATTGCTGTTCTCAGTTCTTCCAAAATTTAAAGCATGGTAGTGATACTTGTGAATCAAAAAAGTTATTAAGTAATTACATTGACCTGTTACTATTTCCAACATTTTGGTTGTGATTAATTTTTAAATTAAGAAAATATTTGTGTAGTTAACTGAGACAATTCTTTAAATTCTTAAACTATTGGTTTGATTTTGACAACATTTGTTGTTAATGTACCATCATCTTGTGGAGCTAATTCTATTCAAAACTGTTTTTCCCTGTTAAAGTACTTCTGAAGACCTGAAAAGTATTTCTTGTAATGTGGATTCAGGAGAGTGGTATAAGAAAAATGAGTATTTCAATTCCATTTCAGTAAATCTGCCTTTCATTTATAATTTAATTAATTCTTGCGATTCTCCATTATTATGTGTGATATCAAGGGAGGCCAAAATTGTTTAGACACTAAAACTGAATCTTGCATCACTTATAGATAATATTTTTCAAACACAGCTAAATCTTTCTTAGTTTTAACATGGTTCCCAACCTTTCACGGAAAACTCAACTCCTTAGAAGAACTCCATTTCCATCATGTATTTAGAGTTTTATCTTGTTTCAACATCATTTCTCAGCCTAAATCTTTCATGATTTTCCATTTTGTAGTTGTTGCTGTGTAAAAGGTGTAGTAGTTTTTTACTGAGTAGAAGAAATTTGAATGAGATGCATATACATTTTTTACACATCTTTGGTTGCTGATTCACTGAAGAGAAATTTTTTTTATAGTTTGTTCTAAACTTGGTTGGTTCAGACATCCAGCAGATTCAAAAATTCAGTCTGGTTTCTTGAATGATGATTTTACATTTGCTGCATAGTCATTGAAATGAATTTTGTCTTTTAAATAAATATTTTAGTCATAAGAATAAGCTTAAACTATTTTGAAGAATCTTTTTTTTTTTCAAACTTTATCAAATAAAACATATTTAATTTATTTTTTTAAAGAATTTATCAAAACTTAGAGTTAATCAGTGAAAAATTTTCAGTATGTAATTTTTGGGTCTGTTAAATTGCTGTTCTCAGTTCTTCCAAAATTTAAAGCATGGTAGTGATACTTGTGAATCAATAAAGTTATATAAAAAATTTTGAAAAATTTTTTTTTTTTTTTTTCAAACTTTTTTCAAACTGTGAGCAAGTTGATCAAATTTTTTTATTTAATCCACGTAGCTGTGGTGGAATGCTGACCACACAGCCATCACCACATAGCTGTGGTGGAATGCTGACCACACAGCCATCACCACGTAGCTGTGGTGGAATGCTGACCACACAGCCAATCTTAAAGATGCAATAGTTGGATTCTCTGACTACAGAGTTTTCAGATTTTCCTTTATTTTATCATAGATCAGATCTAAAATATCTTGTTAATATATTTTTTTAATTTGGTGCAATGATATAGAATGGTGTCTGAGAAATCATGGATCATTTACTATTATTAATTTGTCTATTATTACCATTGAATTTGGCAAATAAATTTGTTTAAAATTTCAGTTGAAACCTTGAATAAGTCTGTAAAAGTTCTCTTGGGCTATTCAAGGTAAATAATTTGGGTGGTGGTACCCTCGTGCCTGGGCCTGTCGTAAGAATAATTAGGTCGAAACATTGCTGTATATAAGTTTTTTTTTTTTGCAAAAAAAAGCAATATTTGCTGTTTAAAAAAAAATGTCTTCAATTTCTGATTTTTTTGATCCCCACCACATCCCTGGTCTGCGCTCAACTTATTTCTCTACTCACCGCCCTTGTTTATCAAGTTTATGTTTCAAAGTTCAAATTTTTTCAAAACTATTAAAATAAACTATTTGGACTTTTTCTTTTAACACAACTCGTAGTAGCCCCGAAGGTCTTAGGAGAATTTTCTTAAAAATATATATACACACTTATATATCTTCTATAGCGTATATAAATAAAAGGTTGTTACTAGTTTTTCTTACCTTTATAGCATATAGCGTTTTGAGAAATATAAAAAAAAAAAATAATAATAATGAAAGAAAAGATTGCTGCCTTATGCTAAACCCTCAGTCAATGTAGCACTACTCCTTTGCGGCAGCAGGCTATAAGATAGTCAATATATGTACTTAAGCCCCCAGCAGCAGCCTGTTTCAGTGCCACATCAAAGATGTTATCTAAACACGCATATATATATATATATATATATATATATATATATATATATATATATATATATATACATATATATATATATATATATATATATATATATATATATATATATATATATATATATATATATATATATATATATATATATATATATATATATATATATATATATATATATATATATATATATATATATATATATAATGGCAACAAAATAAATAGCATATATTGATGTTTAGTATGTAATGATATGTTTTCAATTCTGAGTTTTTATGATCTAAAATTTTTTAGCCTAATAAAATATTAGTTTTAGAAGATAGAGTAAAAAAATAAATTAACTTAGTTAAATAATAAATTCAACCATATAAATGATTTAGAACTACACAATAAGGGGGCTATTTAAACAGCACACCCTGTTAAAGAATTATCATTTTGTCCCTTTGCTATAAAAAAATAGAAGTTCTTTGTATAAATAGTTACGAAAACTTTATTTGAGATAAATTGATAATTAGTGGTATATACTGAGTCAACAGCTGCTTGATAACTACAGCCCAATGACAAGATCAATTTTTTAGGTGTAATGGTGTCCCAAGCATTTTTTATTTCAATCCAAAATTGGTCTAAACTTGTTGCAGTTAATTGATTTATGTTTTTCTATCAAAAAGTTGTTGTGACTGTGCATGCAAGTTCATAACACTAATCTTGATAACATTAAACCACATTTTAACATTTTTGGCAGTGTGCTTGAGGTTGTTGTCTTATTGGAATTTCTAAACCAAAGGAAGATTTTTCTGAGCATAAGGAAACATGGAGTTTTCTAGTATTTCTTTGAGCATGTGTTGATCTACCACACCATGAAAAACTGCCACAAACAATCACCTTGCCACCACTATGTTTTACAGTCTTTAGAGTATACAGAGGGTTGAGTTCTTGGTTTTAGGGATGACAAACATATTATATTCCTTCAGATCCAAAGCATTTGTCAGTAAGTCAGCACTTGTCAGTACAAAGCACATTTTTCCAAAAATGTAACTCCTTGTGTATGTACTGTTTTGCAATTTTCAAACTACTGGCGAGATTGTATGTTGAGACAAATGGTTTTTTTTTATGCAACTCTTCCAAATAGCTTTTTTTTGCAAAGCGACTTGTATATATATATACACTGTATGTATATATATACACTGTATGTATATATATATATATATATATATATATATTGTATGTATATATATATACACTGTATGTATATATATATATATATATATATATATATATATATATATATATATATATATATATATATATATATATATATATATATATATATATATATATATATATATACGTATATATATATATATATTATATATATATATGTATATATATATATATATGTATATATATATATATATATATATATATATATATATATATATATATATATATATATATATATATATAAATATATATATATATATATATATATATATATATATATATATATATATATATATATATATATATATATATATATATATATATATATATATATATATATATATATATATATATACATACATAAATCTTTTGAAAACAAGAAAAAAATCAAAGATTTTTTTTCTTATTTTTAAAAGCTTTTTTATTTCTTTTTATCTTATTTTAATTTTATAATAATTGTTATGCAATAAATTATTCGCAATCCTTCAATTTTTTTTATTGGATCATTCACAATCCTTGTTTCCTTTTTTTTATAACATTTTTTATTGAGCCTTCTGAAACATCTTAATGGAAAAACAAGAACCTGTAACATAGTATATATTATTAAGGTGAATAAAGGGTTTATGTTTTAAAATAAAATGAAAAAAAAATAGAAAATAAGAAATAAAATCTTTGACTTCATTTTTTATTTCTCGCCCTCTTATTTTGATTTTATATTAATTGTTACGCAATAGTTTACATGCTAAAAAATATGTTGCATTAATTTTCATGTGTAGGTGGCGTAATTGTACCCTATGCTATAGTTGACATTGAAGCAAATCATGTTGAGCAACCTCAGAAAACCTTATCCAGTACTCGTAAGCTTACAAGTGATTCTGCTCCACCTTTACCTGAAAGAACACCAGAATCATTTATAATTGTTGCTCCTACAAATGAAAAAAGTAATTTTTTTATATTTAAATGTTTTTTTTTTTTAAAGATTAATGTAATAACAAAAAAGATTATTACTTTAAAAAAAAATTGAAAATAAATGAATTAAATTCTTTTTAAAAAATATTTTAAGAACTTTGAAGTATTATTATTATATAAAGATTATTGTTATTTTTATTTAACTAGAAAGTTTTAGCATACTATCTGAATAAAATCTTATTTTATCTTATATTCTTTTATCTGATTAATATCTCATTATTTGTCTTAAGGTTCTTCTACTAGCATTTTTGAAAGGAATATTATTTTCATGTAGTCAAAAGCTTAAGATAAAACTTTCATCTTTAGCAGCATCAGATATCTCATGCTTCAAAGCTAAAAAAGAACTTTTTGCTCTTTCTTTTGTGAACTGCAAGTTCAGCTTCAGCAGCCCTCTTGTGCAACACACATCCTTTTGTGAGCATTAGATTTTGTTGAAATTATTGCAGTAAAAGATTTATGTTTCTGATCTACATTAATGATCTTCTCTACAATCTTACATTTAAAGTAGCTTTAAGTCAATTGAATTTGGATTTAATCTTAGTAGAGTTCCTTAAAATCTAATACTCTGTAGAATTTAAGAAAGTCATCACTTATACAGCCGGTTTTACTCAAAATTTGTCATGGAAGGATTCACATTTTTTGTATAAAATGTAATGCATTTTCTAACATGTCAACAATGCTAAGAAAATTCAAGTCTTTTTTAGAAATACACCATACTGGTATATACTACATAATGGTATTTCTAAAAAAATTGTGAAGTTCTTCAAAAAAGTTATATACATTCTAGATCTTTTAAGTTTAATTTGTTCTGTTTGTCTTTCCGTGACAATGAATATAATTATAAGTTGACATTAAAGGGTTGGTGTGGGGCAACTAACAGTCCTATATTTATCTTTAAGGTTAAAATTGCAAATTTAACTATTCTGCTAATGGAAAATCTATATTGGAATAGTTAAAACATTTTTATTTTTTTTATGTTTTATCTCACTACTTTTCAATCATGCCCATAGTCTTCAAAACATGCATTCAAATGAACATATTCTTCCAAATAAAAAATTATTATTAATTTTTGATCTTAAAAAAACATTTATTTTGACATACTCAAAGAAAAATCTACATTCAAATATTCATTTGTAGATTAAGTTGCAATAAAAACAAATTCAAACTCACCTGTAAAATATAGACCTGACCCTTAAGTCTAGCTTCTTTGATTTTATTCCTATTATAATCACTATCATTTCGATCTTTTCTCTTTTGCAAACTTCCATTATTAACTTGTCCATTTCAAACAATTCAAAACTTTAATACACTAAAAAATGATAATTCATTAGTCAAATAGAATACAGAATGTGTGTTACAAACTGGAGTGTCAACAAATATCTTATGTAAGAGTAAATTTTCTAGCTGACCCATTACCTTTTAACAAAAACAAAGTATTGTCTTATTTCCCTTTAACAAAAGTTGATGAATGCTGCTATATAGGTGTATTTAGGTTATTGTGTTGTTATGGATAAAGTTAGAAACTCCCTTTTAACACAAACCATTGCTATCTTCAGGCAATATAAAAGCATTTTAAACTCATTTGATAAAAATATTAACTTATGCCCTAGTATGTATATGTGTGTGTGTGTGTATATATATATGTGTGTGTGTGTATATATATATATATATATATATATATATATATACATATATATATATATATATATATATATTTTAGCTGAAGTCAATTACCGACAAAATAGCTGTAGAGATAGGCGCAAACATTTACCTGATATTTCTAATGCATTAAATGATCCATATGTTTTGCCACAAAACCTTTTAGGTAAGTTTTTAAGTGTGATATTCTTTCTAAAAATACCATTGTTTTTAAATAAAAATAACATTAAAAATTTCAATATTCATACACACTTTAAACTAATAATTAGAAAAAAATTAATGTTTATATATATATATATATATATATATATATATATATATATATATATATATATATATATATATATATATATATATATATATATATATATATATGTGTGTGTGTGTGATTAAGTTGCAATAAATACAAATTCAAACTCACCTGTAAAATATAGACCTGACCCTTAAGTCCAGCTTCTTTGATTTTATTCCTATTATAATCACTATCATTTCAATCTTTTCTCTTTTGCAAACTTCCATTATTAACTTGTCCATTTCAAACGATTCAAAACTTTAATACACTAAAAAACTTTTATATAAGTTTTTAGGTTAAACATTAAATCATAATACTATACATAGCTTTATGACACTTCAAACAGTGTTGGGTGAGTTTTACATGATTATCCTCATGTAAAAATGTTAGATATTTTCATTTTTTATTTAAATCATAAATTTTATAAATTCTATTATAAAAGCAAATAAACAGATATATTTAATTAGGCTTAACATAAAGCTATTAGTATTCCTTTTTATGTTCATAAATTTTTTCAATGTAGAAATCTTGTAACATTAGTGATTTAAAATTAATCATATAAACTATGTAAAAATGAATCATTTTTTAATTAAATATTTAAACATAAAGTTTAAATATACCTTTGACAAAAAAATTAAATTTATTTTAATAAAATCTATATAATAAAGTTTAGACAAAAAAGCAATATAAAAAAACGTAACTACATATATCTCCAAAATAAGATTGATAATTTTTTTGAGTAATGAAGTTTTTAAGTTTTATACGTAGATAAATTTTTTTTTTTAATGGTAACTTTATATTTTGTACAATAATCAGATAGTGTTTATCATTCAGATAATGTTTATAGCCAACAAAACAGAGATAAATCTAAACAGGATTATTCAAAAGTGACAGATGATCCATATGTTTCACCACAAGACATATCAGGTAAGTTGTTTAATAACTGGTTACTGTTATGTTAGAAATATCAAATTGTAGTTTATTCTACTAATTTAATTTAATTTAATTCTTAATTTAATTACTCATCTTTATTAAAGTACTATATCATTTTTATTTTTTGCTAAAGAAAATTTAAAACAGCACTAATTATCCTCCTTTTCAAAATTTTACTTGTCATTCAGTTAGTAACACAAGAAAGGAATAGTAAAAATAAAAAAAATTTTTATTAAAGATTACTTCAATAGCTTTTAGTAATCGATGCTAAGTATAATTTGTTGCCAAATAACTCTTTTTGTTAAAGATTAACTTGTTACTTGTTTTTTTTATTATATTAAGGGTAATTTTTTTTTCAGTTAAAAAATACTTAACAAGTATTTTTAAATTGAAATAGAAATTACCTTTAAACTTATTTAGTTTAATGTTGACTTTTTTTTTATTGTAGTTTTTTTATAAGCCTAAGCAATTAGTTTATGATTTAAAAACATCTGACAGTGGTTCAACTATTAAAATTATTAAAAAACAATTAATAACTAAATATAACTTTCATTTTGAATTTAAAGTAACGTTTGCTTTAAAGTAACCATTTCTCAATTAATCATATGTTTGCTATCATATGAAAACCTAAAATATTAATTGTGGTTCAATGTGGGCTCTAGCCGAATTTGTGACATTGGTAAGGAAGGAGACATGAATGCAGTTGATAAGACCATAAGGACTTCCCTAATAAAAACAAAAAAAAAAATTTGTCATTTACACATTTTACTTGAAACAAATATTTTGTAAACTAAATAAATTGTAACAAATTACCTTGACAAACAGTTTTAGAAATCTGTTATCGTCAATTTTTCAAAAATCATGTATTGTATATTAAATGTATTGCATGTATTGTATATTAAAGAATAAAAAGTTTTTATTCTGAGACTTCATTTGTTAGCCTGGCTTATGACTTAGTTGTATTTATAATACATTGTTTCCAGTTTAGGATGTTGAATGCTGGCTCTTCTTGGCTAATTGCATGGGTTTTGCTTGTGTCTTGTGCCCATGGATGGTGTCCATATTCATACACTTGATGTGCATTGTTCATACAGTTCACAATCTTTTGAGTCATTTGTTAATCGTTATCTTGCTTTATAAACTTAATTTTTTCTTTTCCAGTAACTTCCAACTCTATTAGTATTACAACTCTATTAGTATCTTCCAACTCTATTAGTGGTTGCTCAGTAACTCCCAACTCTATTAGTGGTTGCTTGCAAACTTGTTGGAAGCGAAGATGTTAAAAAATTTTTTTTTTTAAAATTTTATTATACAAATTCTATTCTGAATATAATAGCTTTAAGTTTTTGCAATCCCTTGGTATGAGTGTGAGTGTCATTAGGTCCTTTTTTTATCAACATCGATAGGGAGTCTGGAAAAGTTTTGTTGCTTTAACGCAACTGTTTAGAATTTAGGTGGTCTACTGCGCTTCTGTTGTTTACTATACTGATTTTCTCCGCCTATATTCAAAAGCAAAATTTGTTATAACTTTAATGTCACAACTTTAATGTCACACACTAATGCCAATAAATACTGCGCTTCAGCATATTTTAGAATTTAAACTGTTGAAATCTATGAAATCTTTATGTTTCATTTCTGTTTTGGTGAACAGAGTACTATTGTTTCTTAAATTTGTGGAATATATCTAGATGGATGCATATGTGGAATGTATCCAGATGGATACATTTTTGCTTATCTGCCTCATTCTTGCTTACAAAATTTTTGTTATCTTCTGCATTTGCATCTCGAATACCTCCAACTCTGTTGTCTTTTAGCATTCTTCAACTTCTTTATCATTATTAGATTCTATTAAAGGTCTGTGCTGGAACTGTTGTCATGATTTTCCCATGAATCCAATGCACCTAAAAAGGACCAGAAAAATATGTAGGTAGTTTGTCATTCATATAGAGAGAGACCCAGTAATTTTCCGCTGATGTTGTGCAGTGTTCAATTGTTCAATCTCAATAAAAGAGTCAAAATACAAGTATTGTAAGTCAGACTAGTCAGCCTACCTGCATGCGGTTCTATGCACGGGCCCTTCACAGCTGCCAATAGTAATGGCTGAACGCATATGTGCAGAACAGCTGAAAGCTGGTTGAATTAACTGCATTGCAGAATGCGTTTTGAATAATGTCATGCCCAAAGAGCATAGATATAAACAAAGATCTGAGATTCATGTCTGTTCTCCATCAGTATACGATATATAGTATATAGCTATATGTATATGTTATTAATCAATGATTACGAAAATATAACGCAATTACTGCAGTGATTGATTTATGCATTTGAGGAACATTGCAAGTATATTATATCAAAGGCACAAAAACTATAGGTTTTAGTTTCACTTTACAAGCCCAATTGCAAACACTGTAACTGCAACAAAATTCCAAAATATGTGAATTGTGATATTATAGTCTTGAATTAGAACTATAGATTAGCTATAGAATAAATTTAGGCAAACACCAGTTTAAGAGTATTTGGTTCTGAATGATCTACATGCAATTGACCAATCAATTCCTATGCAATTATTGGTTCAATAATTACGTAGGAATCCATTCTTAAGTTATCAACCTCTTAATAAATAAATTCACATTTTAACAGAATTTTTTCAAGCTAAAAAAGGCATAAAATTTGTTACATTAACTACTATTTACCAGAAATTGTTTGAAAATAACTTTATCCTAAATTATGCACCCTCTAATGCCTCCAGTACTCTTTCTTCTCCTGTTCATATTATATATGTATGCATAATAGTTATTGACGGAATTTCTATTTATGGTTTTTTGATTTTGGTCAATATTTCAATTTGAACTGATGCCAAAATTTGAGTTCGGGTACTTTTTATAAACTCTTTAAAAACAAAATTTTAGTTTAAAAACATACCAAAAACAAAAATTTCAATTTTGTATGGTTTTGCCATTTCTGAATAAAATTTATCCTATTGTTAAAAAATTACTTAACATTTGGTTAATATATAGCAGGTATCTATCTGGTTTTTGAAAATTAAAAAAAACCCGCAAATGTATTACGTTTAACGAAATGATAGCGTTTTGTTTAAAAAAAAAAATTTGGTTTAAACAGTTTAAATAGATAGTGAACTAGGATAATCTTTCATGAATGTAAGCTTTGAGTAAATTTATTATTATTATTATTATTATTATTATTATTGCTATTATTATTATTATTATTATTATTATTATTATTATTATTATTATATAAGATGGAATGAAGTTGTCAAAATAATAAACAACAAATGTAAAAAAACAAAATAACTAAATAAACAACATGTAAATTTTTTTTAGATGAAATTTTCTAATAATTTTTTTTTTGTTTTTTGGAAATTTTGGTATTAGTTTCGGGAAAATATTTGCTAAAATGTTGGTTTTGGTTTCAGTATTGAATTTTTATCTTCAAATTAACATAAACTTTCATTTACAAATTACTAATATATTTACTAGGTTTAACTCATAGCGCTTAAGCACTAGGAGCATTACAATAGAAAATTTATAACAAAAGAAAACAAGCGCTTATCATCACCATTCCATCACAATTTCCATCATACAACATCTGTGCATATTTTTACAATTATTGTGCACTTTATTCTGTGTTTATTTATATTTCTTCATTTATCATCACAAATCATAAAGATAACTTCAATAACTTATTTTTAAATAATATATATTAATTTGCAATATTACATAAATTATATTAGTATTATACACAAATAATTATGAACAAATTAAGTAATACTTATATCATCTTTAATCAATCAGGTGATTTGATAATTGAGCAGATTAGAACTCCTATTCACCAGAGACAACACTTTCAACATTTATGCAAGAAAAGTCTTTTTGTAGTGGCAACAATTTTCTTGTGTGAACATGTAAAGCATAAAAAATAATTTCGGGATGATTTGATCATATTTAGGTACTACCCCTAAGATATTTAGGTACTACCCCTAAGACTACATATTATACACTTATCTCAATTTTGCCTACATTTTCAGTTACAACCTTTTTGCTCTGAGGCTGCAATACGTGAACTTTATTTTGGCGTTAATTTCTTAATCTTTTATTGAAATGAAAACTGCACTAAAATAAATAGTTTTAAAATTTATAACTATGTTATGTCAAAAAATAAATATAACCTGTCATTTTGTTGTCATAAAATAACCTACTGAAGTGTAATATTATTCATAACAATATATAATTAAAAAACAATAAATTTATTTGTTAAACTTCAGGTGCATGTAGTATATTATTTAAATTTGAAATTATAATTCAGTTATACATGATGGCATGGAACCTTGGACCTCTCCTAATGCTAAAGCAAGCACTCTAAACACTGCACCAATTTAAAAAAAAAATTTAATGTCCCACTGAGCAGATCAGCATTGTTTTGAACTAAAATGTGACAAAAATATGACTAATTGAAGTTAAAAATTTATTATTTAAAAAAAAAAAATTTTATAAAATTTTGTTATATATTTCAACTTGTTCTATATGTTTTATATCTTAACTTGTTGCTTATTGTTATCATAATTAATCACTACCCCCAACAAAAACCTTCAGTCAATTAATTTGCATTTAATTCAGGTTGCTTGACATATGTAATATTTTGATAAAATGATTATCTATATTTTTCCATGAACTTTCTTTTTAGTTTCTCCGACATCTAAAAATTGGAACTTAAATAAGACATTCAATAAAATTCTACCAAATAACGCTAAAAAACCATCAGTAAGTATTTTTGTGTGTTTTTATTATATATATATATATATATATATATATATATATATATATATATATATATATATATATATATATTGTGCATTTTTCAGTGTGTTTTCTCTGGATTGTTATTTCTGTTTGTGCTCTCTTTCTTTTCATTTTCTTTTGTGTTCTGTTCTGTCTATTAACTTGCATGTAAAACTGATAAATTAAAAAACATACTTAATACTTAAAAAACATAAATAATACTTAAAAAACATACTATTAAAGCAAAATGGATTTTTTAGAAAACAGATTCTGCACTAATGTCATTTGATAATTATGGGTTCAACTCTCTGGGTATGTTTCTATATATTTATTTAAAAAGAAATTTTATTTTAAAATGAAATGCTTTAATAGAGTTTAACTTTAATACTGTTTAGCTTTTCCAAACCGAATCAGCGCTAAACCAAAAGGAATGGTTACACAGCCTTCTCACTGGAAAAAGTATGAAGTCAAGTATATGGGAGGGAAGGATTGAGTGATGACACGTGATGACAGAAAGCAATAAAAATACTGTATTTGTTGAATCTTCTAAACCGATAAAATAAAAAAATGCATTCATAGTTAAGATAAAACAATTTTTATCAGTGATCAAAGTTTCTTGTGTAAATATCAAAATTTTAAAATCTTAAATAAATGTTTTTTATTTTTTTGTTTTACTTTATTTTTGTCAGAATGAAAGTGAAAGTGAAAAAAAAAAGTAAAAGTGTCAGAGTTGCCAAGTTTTATTCTGTTAATTAGTAATTAGTAATTGTTAATTATATTAATTTGAATTAGTATAATTGCAAAGTTTTATTTGTAATCAGCAAAATTACCTAATTACATTTACTTTATTTATTTGATTTTTTTAAAACTGTTGATTAATTTATGAAATAAAGTTTTGGTTCTGATTTGTTTTTAAGAAAACTACAATAATTGTATTTTATAAAATCATGTTTGATGATTTTGTATTATTTCTTATAAGTTTTACAAGTTGCCATAACAAAAAAATTGTTTTTTTACAACTTTGTAATCACGATTTTGTATTTTTTTTAAAAAATGCAGCTGTAGTGGTTTTGGATTTTTTTAAAATATTGTATTTGTAAAATTTACTTTTTTTTTAGCTGTATTTTTAAAATGAAGCTGTGTATGTATTATATTATAACTTTGGCTGCATTTTACAATACATTAAATTTTTTTTTTTTTATTTTGAAAATTTAAGTAATATTTTTTTTATACTCAGTATTTTGCTCAAATTAAGCATATGGTTCACTTGCTTTAAACATAACAAAATGCTTTTAGAATGTTCTGATTTGTAGGATATGGAGTTTTTTGTTGCAGTTGTGCAAAATTATTATTTTTTTGTTGATAATAGCAACTTTAAATATATTTTAGTTTTAAGCTTTTGTTAAAATGCTTGAATTTGTATTTATTAATCAATATATATATATATATATTAATATTATGCTATCAAATATATGTTAGTTTAATATAAACACATATTAAATTCATATATATATAAATATATATTAATTTTATATTCAATATTTTTTTATTATTAATAATATAAGTCCATAAAAAATATTTATAACTACACCTTTTTGCATTTAAACTGATAATTTTCACTTTAATTTGGCATTTTTTCATTTTAATTTGGCAGTTTTCACTTTACAAGTTAAATAAAAATTGCCAAATTAAAATGAAAAAATACCTAAGTGGATATTGGCCAATTTAAATGCAAAAAGGTATAGTTAAACACAAAAATTATGTTGTTTCTTACTTTTTTTCAATATTTGACATCAGTTTTGTTATTAAAGTAATTGTAAAACATCCTTGTTTTAACATTTTTGCTTTAACATCCTTGCTTTAACATCCTTGCTTTAAAATCCTTGCTTTAACATCTTTCCTTTAACATCCTTCCTTTAACACTCTTACTTTACTATCCTTGCTTTAATATTGGTTTACATTAGAAGCCTTAAGTTCATATTAAAGGAAAAAAAACTTTTGGGTTCTGCTATAAAGAATGTATAATTCCTCATATAGTATAATATAGTATAATACTACTGTGACCACTGTGTAAAAATTGCACCAATTTTTAAAAACTGGATATTAAATCAAAATATTTATAAAATAATTATTTCACTGTCATTTAAAAAATAAGTTCTTTTACAGTCTTCTGCAATAAAACTAAATTTGTTCCTGAAAAATCTCTAAATGTTGCTTGACAATCAACATTTAGTTTTTGAGGCCTCTCGCACTTTCTGTGTGAGTGCTCCTACCGTATTTTCTGTGTAAGTGCTTCTCTCGCACTTTTTGTGTGGGTGCTCCAAAAAAACCATTGTAACATAGATTTTTACCTAACTAAAGTCAAATTCAAGATTGAGACTTAAGAAATAGGGAAAACAAAAAACAAATGTTCTCTTCTTTTGCAACTAGTGCCCTTGCTTTGTAAAGGTAAATTTGGAAAACTTGTTTGACAAGTTTTTTAAAAATATGTCAACCTGGTACTCAAATGAAGCGAAGTTATATAAAAATTTCAAAAATAATATTCATTTTGAAAAAAATTGTTATTTTTAGTTATATTACTTAAAAAATTACGTTTTTTAACAAAAAATGAAAAAAATGCATTTTTTATGTTTTTTTATAATAGTTTTGATAAATAAAATAAATTTTTTTCAAAATGAATATAATTTTTGAAATTTTTATATAATTTTGCTTCTTTTGAGTACCAGGTTGACATATTTTTGAAAAACTTTTTTTTTTGAAAATATTTGGAATCATTAAATATTCAAGGGTCTTGAGGGTCCCCTTAAAATATTTTTCATTCAAAAAAATTTTAAACCTAGTGTTTTTGTATTAGATAGAACACATTTAGTATGTGGGAGCAGGTTTTTCTCAAAAAAATTGTTTTAAGGGCCACCCTAATATATATATATATATATATATATATATATATATATATATATATATATATATATATATATATATATATATATATATATATATATATATATATATATATATGTTATAATTAATTTTTTTATTTTTTTAATAGCATAAATATTAAAAAAAAATTTTAATTTATTTCTTAATTTTTTTTTTAGTATAAATTTTCTTTTATCTTTAATAATATATATAATAGATAATAATTACTATTTAAGATTGATTTTAGAAAATAATTTAAATAATTTTGTTTTTGGAAAGAAGTTCCAAATGAATAAAATATAAAAGGTATGGACATGATGATAAATTATTTTTTAATTTACAACAAATAATAAAACTAACGCATGGTCTATTCAAAACTCACTGACAGAAATAAAAATTTTGTGAAGTGAAATATAGGATGGTGTTTTTTAAAATTATCACAATTTCTTTATTTTTAGAATCATGCTAATATAAACACTATTGTAACTATGGCAAAGGTTTAGCTAACGAAAAAATGAGCTGTTACTTGTAGGTTTTTTCTTTTGTTCTTTAATTAACAATTTTTGTATTGATATGGTTATAAAATTTTCGTATTTATAAATGTGGTAGTATATCATATAAATGAAATATTAAATTTTATTTAGTTGATCAACTCTTTTCCTCCTAAAATGCCTATAATAAATAATTGGTAACCATGGTGAGTAGTAACACATACTAATTAATAATAGTTTAATAAAAAATAGTTCAATTATTATTAATAGATTATTTATAATAAAGAAAAACTAAAGAAACAAATTTTAGAATATTTTGCTTTTGCATTGAAAAAAAGGTTTATTATGTTAATTCTAAAAAAACAAAATTTAAAAGTAATATATAAAAATAATTAAAATAGAACTATGAAAAGAAATATAAAAAATTTAATGAAAAATATTGAAATAAAAATGTATAAAAATAATAAAAATGTATATTAATATAAAATATATATTGTATATAAAAATAATTTCAGGAAATGAAAAAGTAATTTATTAAGATAATTAAAAAACAAAGAAGTATTATATAAAACTTTAAAAAATTAAGAGCAACTTTCTGTAAGAACTAAGAAGAGCCCAATAGTGACTCTCTTACGATTACAATATTCATACGAAAAGGTTTAAAAAAAAATTTAAAAAGATATATGCATATATACATATATATATATATATATATATATATATATATATATATATATATATATATATATATATATATATATATATATATATATATATATATATATATATATATATATATATATAACAAACTATATACATCTCAATGGATATTTCACCTTATTGTTTATTGGGTAATTTTTATTGTTACTTGAGCATTGTTTATTGGCTAATTTAGGTAATAAAATAGGTAAAGTAAACATTTCAGTCTGTCTAAAATTAATGCTTCAAAAGTATGCAAAAATTGATTTTTGTCATTTTTGACCATATATTTTCACTTAAAGCCACAAATATCCCATAATTTTTTTAAATTATTATAAATCTTAAGGGATTGTACATAAATTACACAATGCTAAATTTATTTAAAAAAACAAAAGTAGGAAATCTTAAGCTCTTTTACGCAAGGATTTTCATTAAACTTAATATCCTATTTTGATTTTTCATTTAACTCAAGGCTCTGCAAGGGAAAATTTCTGATCTCTTTTGTTTTGTTTATTAGTGAAATTAGCGTTGCATAATTTATGGGCGATCCCTTATCTAGTATAGTACCTAAAAATACAAACATACTTATGATAATTTATTAGGCATTAGGCCTAAAATCTAACTCAAAAAAGGAGTTATAGTCAATAAGTCCAATGTGACCTTATATGGCTAAAGCCCTAGGTTTTCAGTAAGTTTGTTTTCAAATATGAGTTTTGCCCTTTTTTCTACTATATTTATAAAAAATAGCAGTATTAAGAAAAAAATAATTTATTGATATTGAAAATGGATTTATTGACCTGATGATGTCAAAATTATTATCAAGCTTGAAATTAGAACAATACCTCTCAACTTTCCCAAATTCATTTTATTATTATACATTAGCTAGGTGAGACTTAAGTATAAAAAAAATATATGGTAAGCAGATTGCTTATCTAAATATCATGCTTCAAAAGTACGCAAAAATTGATTTTTTGTTCATTTTAATCTTTATTTTTAGTCAAAGTCTTTGATATTCTATATATTTTATATATATATATATATATATATATATATATATATATATATATATATATATATAAATATATATATATATATATATATATATATATATATATATATATATATATATATATATATATATATATATATATTATAAATTTTTATCTAGTGAAGTACCTAAAAATGTGAATGGTTAGGGTTGTTCATAAATTATGTTCTAAGGGTTGGGGGATTGGGTTAGGATTTTGTGACAAGGGAAAGAGGGATTTAAAATCTTTACAAAAAGCATGGCTTAATTTATGAATAGCCCTTTAGTTTCAAAATTTAAATAGTTATTAAATTCCACAAATATTTTTTCTAATCTGATAGTTAAAAGAACTATGCTCACGTTTCTCTTATATAATATTTTTTGTAAACTCAGAATTCAAAAGTTAGGGCTCATCCTAAATTTTGGTGCTTTTGAATACTTTTCTTTTTTGTCACAAAGTGTTGCAAAATCTATGCATCCCTCCCCCACCCTACCCCTCATCCTTGTATAGTGCGATGTAAATTATAAACAGCTCCTAAGAATTGTCTTCTGGGTATTTTTATATTTTGAGTATATCACTGAATGAAGATTTATAATTATTACCAAAGACTTTAAAATAAAAATAAAGACAAAAAATCAATTTTTGCGTACTTTGGAAACATGATATTTTGACAAGCAATCTGCCTACAATATATTTTTATCCTTTTTTAGGTCTCAACTAGCTAATATATAATAATGAAATAAAATAACCATAGAAAATATGGGTATTGTTCTAATTTTAAGTTTAAAAATGCATTTGGTGCCATTTTGTCAGTAATTCATAAATATTTATCAAACTTTGAAGTCTAGTAAATATTTTTTAATAAATATTTTGATCTTGTATGAATAGCAACAGCATATTAAAAAAATTAAAATTTTGAAATTTCTAATCAGGTGGACTGAAACCTAAAAAAAATGTGTCCCCTCAAATTACTTGGCTTTTGATGAAACATGAAGATTTATGACAAAAAAAAACACGTGGTTAAAAAAACCACAATCAGTTTTAGTCAACCCACTTGAGGTTATATAAAAGACCTAAAAATTGTCAAGTTTCTAAGGGTAAAATCCTTTAATTCTTTATAAAATGTTTAGTATGCATAATTATTGTAATATTATGTTTAGTATGCATAAATTTAAAAATAAAAGATTTAATTTTAAACAATTTTTATTCTTTGACATTTTTTGTAACATCTAAATTTAAAAAGTTATTTACAGAAAATTAAAATCAAATAGACTTTTCTTTCAGATTTCATTAATTGATTGATTAACAGATTGATGGATTTAATATCTATTTGTTTGTTTTTCAAATACATAATTAATAAATGTCATCAAGATGTCAACAAAAAAAATAGCAAATAAATCAAATAAATATATTTTGGATGAATACTTTAAATTATTGAAACTATTTCTTTTTGGAAAACTTCCCACTTTAAAGCAAGTGATTAAAAAATCTCTCTACTTTAAAGACTATAAAAAGATAGTGTTCATAGAGATGTTATTGTAAAACTATTCAATGTATGGGTAAATTATAATGTTTGTTTAATGTTTGTTGTTAAAGTTAAAACTTAACCAGTAGAATTAAAACAGTTTAATTGAAAAAAATTTTAAATTTGTAAACTATGGCAAAAAGAAAACGTGAACGAAAATATGAAGCAGATGCAGCAGGATTTATAGAGAAGCATTTATAAAATATGAAAACTAAGTTACTTATATTAATAAAATATTCTGTATCTGTTATTGGAAATTTGTATTTTTAGGTGACTTTTACCTTGATCACATCACACTAAAAAGTGCTTGAAATCAGGGATGCGGATAGTGACTTTTACCTTGATCACATCACACCAAAAAGTGCTTGAAATCAGGGATGCGGGATGTCCCAAAAAGGACTCCGGATTTTAAAGTCACAAAAAAGTTACTTCTTAGTTTTTGGTATCCAGAAGCTCTAAAAATATAAAAAAGTTTATGGACTTATAATAGGAAAAAAAAATTTTACTTTTAGGTAAGAGGAACAGTCATTTTTTGAGCCCGAGTCCTTACGTATAATGGCGGCAAGGACTCCGGGACTCCATGACTTCAGGGTTAAAAACAATAAGTTCCAAGTCATTAAATCTCATGAATTTTTTTCTCATGGCAGAGTATAAGTCAAAAAATATGTTTAGAGCTTCTGGACACTACAAACCTAAAAAAAAAAGATTTAAAGCAGGAGTCCTTTTGGGACTTCAAATCCCTGCATGGAATATTAAAAATACTACAGGGAACAGAGCTTCAAATAAGATTGAACTTAGTAAAGGCAATGTTGATATTGGTCATTCATGTGGTTCCATTAAATATTTGGAAGTTTTCCTAGAAGTTCAATTACATTTATTTATTTATCTTTATAACAATGTTCTAAATTTTATTTCGTATTATTTGGTACCTACAGTAGCGTGCAAAAGTTTAGAAACACCTTTTTTCAGTTTTTAACGCATAACTTTTCACAAACTTTCACAAATAATCTGAAATTTTTACCAAATGTGCTATATATTATTATAATTCAAAATCCATTTCAAAAATTTTTTAAACTCACGGGTCTATTAGTTTTAATTGTTTTTTTGAAAAGGCTTCCGTTCAAAAGTTTCGATAGCTGAATTTGGATTATAATTTATTTCAATAAAGCTGAAATATTTACTTAAACTTTCAAAATTTTTTAATAAAATAGTTTCAATAAAAAAGTTAGTATTTGGTGGCATGGACAGATCTAGCATTTTAAAAGGGTGATGCAAAATTTTTTTAATAGAAGATATTTTTCTTGATAACAGTTTATGTAAAGTATTAGTAAGGGATTGTCCATAAATTACGTAACGCAAAATTTCACAATAAACAAAACAAAAAAAGATCAAAAGCTTTCCCTCGCAGAGTCTTAATTTAAATAAATAATCAAAATAGGAAATGAAAATCGCCGCATAAAAGAGCTTAATATCTCCTACTTCTGCTCTTAAAATATTTTTTGCGTTGCGTAATTTATAGACGATCCCTAATCTTATTTAAGGTTAACCCTCCATTTTTGTATTCTTTCTTGATAGGATTTTTTTTTTTTTAGTTTATTAATTTTTGTTATATTTTTTTTATTGAAGGTCAATTAATATAAAATAAATATAGGCTAACAATCTCTCTCTGGATATATAACTGGATTTAGTTATATATATAATTGAAATACTTCTTTCACATTCACAAGTTGTTATTGGAATTTTTCCTAATATATAAATAAATGTTTTTCTTATATTTGGAAAACT